AAGTACAGAAATTTGCAATTGAAGAAATAAAACTGTATGAAAGGGCTGCTAAGTCCTCTTGTTGGTTGTTGTGAGACGTTGGGAAAGCTTGGGGAGAGACGCGTACATGTGTGATTCATCCCTGCTGTTCACATATACACATTGTTTACTGTATACACATTGTTAACTGTGGCTGACCATTTTATAAAATCTTTCAAAAGGACATTTAAAGATTCCTCGATTTATTGCCTTGAAATATAATTGCACGTAAGCAAAACATTGCAATTGAAATAAAAAAACTCTGCATGAAATGGCTGTAAAGTTATGGAAATTTTTCTTATTTAAAAGTAATAATAAATAAAATGATAGCACATAGTCTAAGTTTTGCAATTATTGCAAAAAAATGATCATTTAAAAATTGAGCAATTTTATTTTAGGATTTTGCGGAAAATTGCTTTTTTTTCAAGTTAAAATTTCCACTCAATTCAAATGTAATTATAACTTTATAATTATATAGTGTGGTTTTTATTACATAATTTCAGAATATGAATAATGTATGATTATTTTGAAATTATAAATGGCTGGAGTAAAATGAGAAATGACTAGAGTTGATAAAATTGGCCAGATAGAAAAAAAATATTAATACATTTAAAATTAAAAATAAATACTTGGAAATGATTAATGATAAAAAATTTATCAAAAAACTCATTGCATAAAGAACAGAAAAAATTATTAATAAAAGTCTAGGTACTCAAGTATTATTTCTTAATTAAATTTAAAATATTTATTCCAAAAATCATCTGAACACTAAACATACTTTGGAATAACTGAGTAGAAATTGGATGGTAGCAGAATACGGCAGTATAATTTTATTTAGTATTTCTGTATTTCTAAGTAAATAATGCTTGGAATGACATTATAAAACTATTATTCCATGTTTTACTGCTTCCCAACAATACAGAAAATTAAGTAAAATTTTATCGCCGAATTATTCGTCCACCATCTAAATCTTCCCCTTGCTTACTCCAAAAATAAAATGTAACGCAAAATAATATCAGAAAATACAAAATACTATATTACATAGCATCATAACCAATTCAAAATAATGTTACGGAAAACGCTAGATAATATCAGTTTGGATAAAAAATATTATATAATGCCGAGTAAACAGCGACCTTTTGTATGTTTCTAATATTAAAAGATGTGCAAGATAATTTCGGGTCTTTGGCAGGCCAATTTCGCCTGACTGTCAGCCTCCTCGTTGCCGTGGTGTCCGACGTGAGCCTTAATCCAATGGATTATCATGCTTGATTTATATTGGTCTTTCATCAGTTTAATTAAGCAATCGTTTTCCTCGGGGTTTGCCAGTGATTGTAATCCCGAAAGGGAATCGGAAAAAATATGAACATCTCTATTTAATTTGTTCTTAATTATCCAGTACATTGCCTGAAGAATTGCTCATAATTCTGCTTGAAAAACGGATGAGTAGTTATTAAGTCTATATCTATAACAATCTATTTGAATATCCCCATCGTACACCACGAAGGCGCATCCCACGCGGAATTCGTTATTATAAATTAATCTAGATCCATCTGTGTAGATCTCTATATCATTGCCTATTGGTGGATCAAAATTATAAGGAATAGAAATGAGCCCCGAAGGGTGTCTGGGCGTGATTTCCGGTATTGTTATAACGTTATCCTTATGTAAATAAAGATTAGCCATATCAGAATTTGTCTGAATAATCAGCTTCAACGGGACCGTCCCAGCCAACACCTGAAGTGCCGATGTCGAGGTGGTTCTATAAGCCTTAGTGATGTTCAATAAGGGTATTCTTTCGATCTTTTAAAGTTTATTAATTATTCTGACCTGATTTTTGAACCATACTTCAGACCCGTAAGAAATGATTTTAATTATACTGTTTTGATATATAAACTTACGTATTTCTGATGTGATCCCCCAATCTACCCCGGACAATCTTTTAAATTTAGCATAGAATGATAAAATTTTATCGTATAAACCATCAAGGCGCGGCAACCAGGAGAGCTGACAGTTTATCCGAAACCCAAGGTACATTATGGTGTCACTAATAGGAATATTTTGATTTTGAAGTTTCACTGTTTGTTTCCTCGTTATTTTCCTGGATTTTGGAAATACAATTGCTTGGGTTTTATTGACACTAAAATGGAGATTCTGTGTCTCTGCCCATGATTGATATTTCTTTAGAATATTTGTGACTCTTGGTCCCAGTCTATTTACTATAGTTCCCGTTACCAGCACAAGAAAATCGTCAAGAGATGTGCAAGATAATGTTAGATTATATATATATATATATATATATATATTAAACCTCCCCCTATACGAGTTTTTTTTTCCAAATTCGTAATTTTGTTGAATGCAATCATGCATAAGAACCAAATACTTACGTTTGGAAAATTGATAACAAAAGAATGAAGTACTTATTAAAACATAATAAAATAGTATGAAATTTTTTAAAGAAAATATAAAATAATAAAAATTTCATTTTACAATTAAATATATATATTTACTGAGAATTTGCGGTTACGACTAATAAGATTAAATATAGCATTCTTTTTTAAAAAATTATTTAACACAAATTTATAAATTGGGACTCAACTTCGACAGTACTTCCAAGTCCACGATACGTGTTACAAAGACTATGCTATTATTGTTAGTAGTAGCCGATGTACGTGAGACGGAAGTGACGTCATCACTCAAAGTCAACCGGAGCTTATTTCTGCCCCAACCGGAAGATGCTTATTTCTGTCAGACCGGAAATTGCTTATTTCTGCCCGCATATTNCTTTTTTCAGTTGTGAAAATGCATTGGAAGTGTTTAAGAAAGTTGTGATCGAGTCCCATATATCTCAAGCTTTTTGGAAAGTTTTTTTCGACGAATTCATAGAGATGGGAGTCTGGATGGAGGATGAACTTTGTAGAAAGTAGTATTTAAATATGGGTCCTTGTCCCACACTCTGAATGCTTCATAGAACCAACGGATTCTCCTGCCTTCATGATTCAAAATTAATGTTAAAATGATTTTATAGAAAATATTTATTGATCTAACTTAAAGTAATCATCTTAAAATCTTAACGAACTAGGAAATAATGTAACATTTTTATTTTTTTTTTAACAAGAATTTATATTTTTTCAGAAAATATTTATGTTTTTACAAAAAAATTTTCTCTTTTACGAAAATATTTTAGCTTTTTGTTAAAAATTTTCTATCTTTTAAGAAATTAATTATGCTGCTATAAAAACAATTTCTCTTTTAAGAAAATATTTTTACTTTTCGTTAAAAATTTGCTAGTTTTATAAAAATATTTCAAACTTTTTAACAAAATTTTCTATCTTTCAAGAAAAATATTTATGTTTTTACAAAAAATTTTCTCTTTTACGAAAATATTTTAGCTTTTTGTCAATTTGAAATTTTTCTTGATTATATAAACTTTTTCACCTGTGAAAATGCTCAATAAAGACAAAATATATTTTAATAAAATGAATAACATTTTTATTGAAAGTTTCACCTCACCGCTTCTGCGAGCATACATCACAGCTTTCTTAAAAATTTTATTTTTACTATAAATTTTTTTTTATTTACATCTAAATTTGCTGGTAATTGAATATCGTTTAATGTTTTTAAAAATACATTTCTCCTCACTGGAGCTGATTTTCTATTTCGCAAAAAAGTCATTTATAAGATTTACTATATTACTTCCAGGAACAGCTTTATGTAGTATCCGATGTACGTGAGACGGAAGTGACGTCAGCACTCAAAGTAAACCGGAGCTTATTTCTGCCCCTACCGGAAGTTGCTTATTTCTGCCAAACCGAAAGTTGCTTATTTCTGCCCGTCTGAAATCGAAACTTCGTCTGCAGCGTCATGGGGAGCATATTTCTTTTTTTCTTAAGCCTAAAATATTTTTAGTTTCGGTTTCTGTTTTTAATATAGTTTCGTTTTTTAAATATTATTTTCATTTATTACTTTTTTTTTGAGGGTGACAACACATAATAATTTTAATATTTGTTTTTCAAGGATGGCAACACTTATGAGAGCTTCTTTCTGCCCGGTTGATGTACTATAGTAGGGGGGGGGTATTTTTTAATTTAGTTTTTGTTTTTTCGAGGTGGCAACGATACCAATTCTGCATCACTAGGTTTCGTGTGACGTCACAACTACTGTTGATAGATAGCAGTGAGTCATTCTGACAAGATATAGCAAGATAGCCTCGGTCTGTGACGTATGTATGATGAATTCAGTTTCCTTCACTTATGCTGTTGAGTTATGAATCACGTGACTGCTTAATATTTTTCTCATTGGCTGTTAGAGTTACTTTTTTGAGTTTGGCAACGACTAGAGAGGACTTTGAACCGTTTATCACGAGTTCCTTTGCTCTGGTGTGTGTTGCTGCTTTGTGAAAGTTTATTTCTTAAGTTTGTTTTAGTTATGGAAGCCAATTCTTCATTAAAAAGAAAGCACGCTGAAATTCAAGTAAGTACATATTACTTTCTTCACTCTTATTTTATGACTGTTTATGTGAAATAATAATTTATTTATTTAATGTTAATAGATTTTCAGCCTAAACATAATTTTAAATTCTTTAACTACTTATTTCGTAACTTACCTAATTGTAAACTTAATCATATATTTTTTACTCTTAAACTGTATTTTAGATATTCATATTACTTAGAAATAGTTTTTAAAATAATGTTCAATCATTAATAATGTTTTTTCTTGGTGACTCAAAATATTAATTTTTTATTTTTAGTAAGCAGGGGTTTTGGTGCGGCGGAACTTATTTCTGCCTGCTTGGAAGTGACGTCATCACAGAAAGTCAAGGAGTGCTTATTTCTGCCAGCCTGAAATCGAAACTTCGTCTGCAACGTCATGGGGAGCTTATTTCTTTTTTTTTCTTAAGCCTAAAATATTTTTAATTTCGGTTTCTGTTTTTTAATATAAATTCGTTTTTTAAATATTATTTTCATTTATTAGTTTTTTGAGGGTGGCAACACTCATTACTTTTAATATTAGTTTTTAAGGATGGCAACACTTAGAAACTTTGTTATTTGGGGAGATATTGTATATTATGAAGTTATGACGTCATCTCTTATTACATAACACATAAATGATATCATACTTTTACTCTAGTGGCGCCATCTATGTGAGAATTTTAGAAATAAAATAACTTTAAATCTATTTTAATATTTAAATCTGTTTTAATATTATTTATTAAATATAATTAAGGCTGAGGATCGAACTCACGCCATCAAAAAGCCTTCGTGGGTCAGTAGTTGGATATCATAACCACTGACCCACGAATGCTTGGTTAGATATGTGTTAATAAGTTAAACTTTTGTATTCTGAACACGTGTATAAATGAAAAGGATTTGATATCGATATCATCCTACAGTTTCATCGATATATTTTTCACTTAACCTTTGACAGTTATTAAATAATTATTTCTGCCCCTCTTAATGTTATGATAACTTTCTCTGGGTGGCAACGGTACTGACCATACACATGTTAAGATTTGACGTGTTTTGTGTGATAACACAACTACTGGTTACAGAGCGAGTCATTCTGATAACATATAACAAGCTAGATCTTGGGCTATGACGCATGTGTTGAATTCAGTTCCTTTCACTTGCGCTGGTAAATAGTTAAGCATGTGACAGTTTAACATTTTTCTGATTGGTTGTTAGAGTTATACTTTCATGATTTGGCAACTAGAAGGATAGAGTGACTTAATTTCCCCTACCCCCCTCTTATATTAGTATTTCACTTGTTCTTCTGTTGTGTCTCGATTAAGTTTTTGAAAAGTTTTTCAATTAACCATTTCGTTATGGACGGTTATTTAAAGAGAAAACATGCTGAAACTGAAGTAAGTACTATTGATTTCTTAGTAATTTACTATGCTTTTAAATTTATTGTTAATAGAATTGTTTTATTTTAACTTCTAGCACTAATTCGTTTTTAGGCAGAGCATGTGACAAAACTTAGTTAACTTTAAAAATTTTATAACTACGTTATTTTTATTATATTGATGATAAATAGTATATTGATAATGTTAAATAGTATTATTTCTAAAACTACTGAGATGCGTTAATCTGTATCTTTAATTAACCAAGATAAAGTAAATTGTTTTGTACATTTTAATTAATTATTTTTATTTTGTTAATAATAAAAATTACTCATCTTCTTAGTTACAAATTAGGAATAGTTATTATTTTTTTTTTCATTGCGTAATCTAAATGAAGTTAATATTTCTTAAATTAACTTTCTATTTGTTAAAATTTATTAAGTATGTCTACTGTGAATATTAAAAGTATTAGAATTAAAGGTATATTAATTTTAAATTAATAAATATTAGTTTATACGATTAGGTATTTTTATCCCTATCGTTTGGATTTACGGCTATCAATGTTGTCATTTTTGAACCCAGAAGACAATGGAACTCCTAGATCTTGAGACAATACATGTCTTCGAAGTGGACTTTGTGAGTACCCATGTTATATGAGGAGGAAGACTACGAAAACCTCCTACCCTTAGTCCGACGACAAATAGTGGGATTGGTTTCGTTAACCAGTATCCTGTGAATGTACAGAGATCAGAGGAAAACTTAAGGTTTTAATAAAATAAATTTTTATAATTTAAAAAATACTATATGAATTCTAATGGTGTCATCCATACTTAAAATGTTAGAAAGAGACTATATTCATAACTCTTAATTTTAGTTATTTTTTAAGTTATTTTGATATAAATGATTAAGTTATTTTGATATATATATTTTAGTTATTTTGATATAAATGACTATAATTATTGTTTACCTATTCAATATTACCTATTATTAACCTATTCAATAAAAAATACACCCTTTAATAATTAATACAAAAAAGTTTTCATAGAAACTAGAAAATTATTACAAAAATATGAAAATTATTTTTGAAAAACTGGAAATTTTTTACAAAAATAAAATTATTTTCAGAAATATTAGAAAATCTCCCTCAGTAATAAAAATATTTTCTAAAGACTAGAGCATTTTGTTAAAAAGAATGAATAACGACATATTTATATTATCAATTAAATTTCCTTAAAATTTCAAATGAATTATTTTAAATCTAAGAAACATGTAATGGGAATTTTTGCCGCTTTAAATTCATTTATATTAAAAACATATTAGTTTTATTATAATTTAATATTATAATAATGCAAATAACTCACTTTATTTTCAAACTAGGAGTTAATTTAAAACTAACTATAGCCTTTCTATTTGAAAGTATATATTTAAATGATTCTGATTACAGAACTTGAACGTGTTATCTATTTCTCAAAAAATTTTACAAAGATAATGTCTGTCCGGGACGTTTGGGGGCTTATCCACGTTTTATCAATTAGTCATAATAGCATAGTGCTTCATACTTGTTATAGAACGTGGGAATAAAATCATTTCTTAGAAAATTGTTTAGAAACCCGTGATATATGTTCGCAGAAGTGCTTGGGTGAAACTTTGAATAAAATGTTATTTATTTTATTAAAATATATTTTGTCTTTATAGATCATTTTCACAGGTGAAAAAGCTTATGTTATCAAGAAAAAATTACACTCTTTATTAATTGATACAAAAAGTGTCAGAAAAATATATAGAATTTTCTGAAATATTAGAAAATTTCCTCAATAACATAAATATTTTTCTTAAAAGATAGAAAATTTTTCTAAAAAGTTAGAAATATTTTTTTATAAAACTGGAAAATGTTTTAGCAAAAAGCGAAAATATTTTCTTAAAAGAGAATTTTTTTTGTAAAAACATAAATATTTTTCTTAAAATGTAGAAAATTTTTAACAAAAAGTAAAAATATTTTCTTAAAAGAGAAAGTTTTTTGCTAAAACATAAATATTTTTCTTAAAAGATAGAAAATTTTGTTAAAAAGTTTGAAATATTTTTATAAAACTAGCAAATTTTTTAGCAAAAAGTAAAAATATTTTCTTAAAAGTGAACGTTTCATATTTGTTTTTGTAAAAAGGTTTATTTTAGACAGAAATCAGGAGGTAAAGACTTTTACTTTGCAAATAAATTCTTAATCGTAGTATTCGAAAGGAGTTATGAACATTATTATAAACATTTTTACTGTGTGTTGTTAATTATTTTTCTTGGTGACTCAAAAGTTTCGTTTTTTTTATTGTAGGAAGGAAACAGAAAAAGATTCTCAGCTTTAGTCATTGATTTTGAAGGTTTTCAACTTTCATCAGGGACATACATTGTCAAAGAACTTGCTTTTCATGCCGTAAAAGGTAATCCCATTACCGCAGTGTGTACATTCCAACCACCGTTCCCGTTTGAAGAACTTCCAACACAACAGAAAATACAATATTCTTGGATAGTCCGAAATATTCATCAAATAGATTGGAACCAAGGAGAATTACCCTACATTAAATTTCATACTATGTTGACTTTTTTGTGTGATATGTATTCACATATCTATGTGAAAGGACTCGGAAAACGGAAATTTTTAGAAATTCTAACCGGCAGAGTGTTTTACAGTTTGGAAGATTTTGGCTGTCCTAAAGTAGATGAACTGATACCAACTTTTTCATCGTGCACTATACATTCACTAGATTTTAAGCATTGTGCTCTCGTTAAAGCGAAAGCATTTGGACGATTTCTACAAGACCTATAAATAGGACAAGCACTCGGAATTCAACATAAAGCTGTTCCTGGAAGTAATATAGTAAATCTTATGAATGACTTTTTTGCGAAATAGAAAATCAGCTCCAGTGGGGAGAAATGTATTTTTAAAAACATTAAATGATATTCAATTACCATCACATTTAGATGTAAATAAAAAATTGTATAGTAAAAATAAAATTGTTAAGAAACCTATGATGTATGCCCGCAGAAGTGCTTGGGTGAAACTTTGAATAAAATTTTATTTATTTTATTAAAATGTATTTTGTCTTTATTGATCATTTTTTTCACAGGTGAAAAAGTTTATATTATCAAGGAAAAATTTCACCCTTTATTAATTAATACAAAAAGTTTTAGAAAGAGGGATAGAATTTTCTGAAAAACTGGACATTTCCTTTTTGCAAAAACATAAATATTTTCTTAAAAGATAGAAA